GCAGTTTTGGTGTATCTTTCTGTATCCCAAAGTATCCCAGAATGAAGAGGTAAACCTTCTCTTCTAGAATGAATCTTAAACCCATATCTTATAGGATTTCTCATGGTTGTAACTAGTTACATACTTCAGTTTACTGTTATTTCTATGTAACAGCACCAGATCTCGTAGTAGTTCTGTGTAGCTGTGACAAGTTTTGATAAAGGAGGAGGTCCTCATTCTTTTTTTGTCCCTTTTGCTGTAATAGTAATTCTAAATTGTTCCTTTCATCCAGAGTTGCTCTGGTGATCCAGATGGAACCTGGTGGTTTGCTTCAGGCTTCTTATCCCATCTTGTCTTGGACAAAACATGAGATAATCTTTCTTCACGGTCATATTTAACCATACTTATTTCCTTTCTCAAAGTCAGGTTCCCAAGAGTTCATAAATACAGATGAGTTACCTCTTAGTCTCTCTATATTTCCCTATGCCCTGTCTCTTCTTCCACTCACAAACAAAACCAAATGCAAAGAGACTGAAATACAATCAAAAATTATTTGTTCTTTACAGAAATGAAAAGGTAGGAAGAAAAAATAGATCACTGAAGTCATCAAAGTAGCCTTTTTACAGTCTGAATTGTAAGCAAGTTATTAATCCTTTATCCAAATTATATTTTTTGAAATGTGTCATATATTCATACAGTCATCTCCAAGATAAGAATCTTCTGGCAGAGTTACAGATTAAAGGAGATCACAGCAGATGTGAAGAAGACTCTCTGTTTAGCAAAGCAGGAGTCTGTTAAGAAAGGTTTATCTCTGATATTGTTGAAAGCCTAGTAAGTCAGTCTTGTAGGTTGTTCAGAACAGTGGGGCCATGCAGTTCTCTATTTCATTTTAACTGCGGAAGGTCTTAAGATATTTAATACATTTATTTTCAAAGATAACACCTTTTCCTAAAGTGCATTAAAATATTGACTTAAGCAAATTAGTTTTATCACAGTAATTTCAGTGATTAAAATCACCAATATTAATATGTGCAGGACTGAAATTCAGTATTAGGTTAGTCTTAATAGTTATTTATTGAAGGTAATGTTATTACCAAGATCTCCTTTGTTTGGCAAGCTCTGTAGTGAGAAACTAGAAAATGGTAAGCTGTAAATACAGTCTCACCTTCACATTTAAATGATATTTTTTCTATGCTTTCATGTCTGTAACCCTGTTTCAAATAATATTTCATTTTCTGCCTTTTCTTTCTAGTCCAAAATATATAAATATACTAGTAAGTACTGAGAGTTAAGTTAATTGTCTCAGTACAGTTTTATTATTTATTACCCATGGTGTAAGTATTGAAATTTCTTTAGTATAAATATGTATATAAGGGTATCATATTGATCAAAAGAGTACTCAGACCTTTTGAAACACCATGCAGATGGACTGCATATAATCTATATTGCCATGGTACAGCTATATCTTCACTCTGTTAATCAAAAAATACCAAGAATGGAAGTGTGGTGATTTGACCATATTTCTGCACACCCTTTGGTGTATTGTGCTCCCTGAGAAAAGTCTCAGTATAATCAGTGCTTGAGCACAAAAGAGTAGTTTCAGAAGATGCTACAACTTAAATATGACTAAAATAGAATTTTATTTCTAAAATTAGGCTCCTTTTTAAGTACTTAAAATCTGTTTTCTCAAATACATGTTCTAGAAGGGTAAAGTTGGAACAAACACACTGTAACCTGTAACTCATTAATTGTCTCATAACTAGTAGGAAAGGTAATAGTATTTAAGAAAGCAGAGAAGTTTAATTTCATCATGGCTTAGATTATACTATTCAAGAAACACCTTAAAATAAACTCTGCAAGTTTTGGAAGTGGTGTGTGGTAGAAATTCTAACTTTTTTGTTCTGTATCATTGTCAGTAGCCAACCTGCAATTTCAGGAAATCCTCAATTACTGTATGGAAGTAGCAGACTCAAAAATTGAAACTCGTAATGTAAATTCACCTTACAATTTCTAACCTGTTTATACATCTCATTGTCAGAAAACTAACTACTAAATTTGACTGCTTGCTTAATGCACAAGATTTGCCAATTTAAAAGCAAAACCTCAAAACATTCTATGCTGCATAATAAGTCAGAATATTGAGTTCTATCTAACTTTATGAAGCAATTTTGCTGAAAAGTTTTTGCAAAGCAATTGAGACAGTGTAATACTTATCAGCCAGTGAAAATTCAATACAAACTCCAAATGCCTGTTTCTGGTGGAGACTTTTTAATGTTTGAAAAATCACTTCATGTTATTTTGATATGAGAGAAATAAATAGGTGTATCTTCAGAATTATATGGAAGCTTAAAAAGAGATTAATTCTTACAAAACACTGTCAATTATTTTATATATATATATGTGTATGTGTGTGTATATACGTGTATATATATATAAAACTAAAAGTAGTGTTAGTAAACAGTGTAAGAGAGAGATCAAGCCTCAAATACAAACAACCTGATAAACAAAGGAAAAAAGCACCAAAAACACGAGAAAAAAATAATTATTTTCAGTATTTAGCCTTTTTTTTAATAAAAGGTGTTTCTCGTAGTTGATTGTTGATTATTAATACAGTCTTTGCTTTTAAATTTATTAATCTGTTTTTTTCTGTTGTATTTTAAGCAAGCTTTTGCTAAAATAAATAAAGAAATACTTCTACTTAGTAGATGTTATAGTTCAACAGTCACCTGAAATGATTATTGCCACTCCCTTTTTCATCATGGCCATATATTTCTGTGCTTTAGGAAGATTGATATGCATTGAAATATGAGATGTTTCCAGTTTCTTAAATCATCTGTGGTATCAGTGATTGTCATTATCCAGTGTTGAAGTGTTCTACATATTTCCCAATAAATCCACTAGTTAAGTTTGATAATGACTGTGAAGAAGAAACTATTTTTCCTTTTAATAAGCAACCTAGCATACCAAAACAACATACAGTAGCATATGTGCTAGTTAGCAGTGGTGTTGATAACACAAACTATCAGTTTTCTGAAATACTTTAGTCAAAATATATTAACAATTTTTTTTTTCTTTTGGGGATTTCAGGATGGAAGTTTAATACTTAGCTATAATAAAGAAAACCGATTGGGAGTATAAACAATTTTCCATTCTTTTTGGTTGGGATTTTTTTGTTTTGTTTTGGGTTGTGTTTTTGTATTTTTTTCCTGTTTAGCCTTAAAAGATAAAAATCAGTTCATTGCAATTTCAGACTTTGGTAAGAGAAATACTGCATCATCTCACTAAAATCAGAAGTATAATTCTATATCTGAACAAGCTTAGCTGTGTACTACTGTGGAATCAGACACATCTTTTCTAAATAATTCTAGCCCTTCACAAATGGACCCCTCATGATGGTCCCATGTTTGGTACATAAAGACATGGGAGAATCCTTTATAATTGCCTTGATTTTTACAATGTGGGGTGCCTGCTGATCAATAGCAGTTTGCCAAGCTGCATACTTTTTATAAGGTCCTATACATGATATTATTTTCTACATAACCATCATGAAAGAGTCCCAGTTGGTGCTTAAACTGTTTTTATTGTTTTACAATGAGTAAGAAGTTGGAAGCACAAAATAGGGATCTGTTTCTTAAGGTTTTATTTTTCCTGTTTTGATTGCCTGTTTATGTACAAACTATGAAAAATGGATCTTCATACTGTTTAACATACATCTAAAATATTTGTGTGTGCATATGTACAAGCCCATATTTTGCTAATACATAACTTTATGCATTCACAGTGTCCCAGCTTTCTCATATGCATTAAGAGTTTTAGTGCAAAAGTATGTATACCTATTTTATGAGGGACTGTCAATGATTGTAAGTAACAGAACTGCTGAAAGTGTGAAATTTTGCTTTATTTATTTCTAAATAGTTTTGGTTAGTAACTATATTAGCATATGATAAATTCCACTGTATAGCACTTTAACACTTATTTCTTGACATAAAAATAGTGTAATTTTTGATATTTTATAATATTTATATATTGCAAAGATGTCACAAACATGCTTTGAATAAGTATTGTATGTTATGTTTTGAAAATTGGAATTTTACTTTTTTACGACATTTATAAAAAGAATAGAAGAGTTTTTCTGTCATGATCTAATACTTTTAAAGGAGAAATGTGTATATGAAATTTTTAAACAGAGCAGTGCTTTTTTAATATGTTCCAGAATTAATGTTAAGCATATGTATATTATTTAGAAAAGATTATCAATAAATATGACTCTTAATTCTTTTTTGTGTTTATTTTGAACACAGAACTATAATAAGCTGTTGACCTTTGCTCAACTAAATGAACGTTTTTAACACTAGTCATAAATATTTTGTAGTTATTTGTTTTGAAGGTATTAGTTGCATGTTCATCCATCATGAGATTGATGCTTACATTTTTTCACCTGCTTCTAGATTAAAAAAGATCAATGAATATTTTAGCAGTTAGAATATTGCCAGAAACTCGGTAGCTTCAGCGTAACTGTTGTAAGGTATGGAACACAGTTTGCTGGCTCCAAGTCTTATTGTAGAATGGTGCTTTATAAAGTGCCAGAGTAAATGTCTCAGCTTCTTTCAGACATTGGCCCTGTTTGTTCATAGACTGATAACTGTTTCTAGTGTGCTCATTGAACTTGCTGGAATTTTTGTTTACTTATAGTCTTCATTTTCCCCAAGAGGATGAGAGAGGAAAGAATATATTCCTCATGTGGTCAGCATATTTTTGAGTATTTATGTGAGTTCACCATCTTGATTTCAAGTCATGAATTTGTTTTTACATGCATAAGCATGCATATTTACATGCATTATTTATCCAATTGACTTTAAATTCCATTAAGTTCCAATGAGTAGGAGAAAGATTTTTGTCTTAGGCATTTTTTATTTCTTTTAATTTTCTAGTTATGTTATTTTGTTGGTTTATTTATTTTTTTAACTGTTCAGTCTAAGGCTTGTAAAGGTTGATTTGCTCCTGAACTGCTTTGTTCCCAGACATTGCCATCTTCCCCAACTACCACCAAGTCCTCTCCATCTGATCCCATGACCACCTCCAGAGCCAATCAGGTACAGTATCATCCTACCATCTACACCATACTTTTCACGGGTGACAGCTTGCAAACTGGAGAAAAAGATATGGTGGGTTAAGGATTTATTCGTTCATTCACATATATACACCCATAACCATAGATATCTAACTCTTGTTAGAAATTGGTAAAGTAAATGGAAAATATTACTTCTTTTAATTTGTTTTGGTGGGCTTTGTTAAAATCTCTGATGAAAGCAAAGTATCTTTTAAAATAGTTGGGTTGCTTTTTTTTTCCATTTGATAAATTGCAAGGATACAAAACTGGTGTGTTTGTAGACAGAGTAACTCTTGGTTTATATATGTTTGTGTATATATGCACACACGTATTTACTTCCTGGATCAGTTTTAAATTATAATAGAATTACCCCTAAACCCATGCTCAAATAGCTGGAATTCAACCCAGCAATGGCAAACAGACTTGTTAATTGCAGAATTTTGAAATGTGTTTGTGGACAGTAACATTATTTAAATTTTAATATTTTAAATGAAAATTTAATGGTGAAGAGTTAAGTAAAATTCAATCTCTCTAAAAACATGCTAAACACATCTAAGTTTAATTTATATCACATTTTAAATGCATAAACTGTCCATTTAGCAGCATGTTAATTCTACTGATTTTTTTTTATTTTAACTGGAAAAGTCCATGTCCAGTTGATTGTGTCCACAAATTATCATATTATCTTCGTCTTCCCTATAAAAATCGTAAAAAATTGCTACATACCATGCTTTTTAGAACTTATTCATGCTTAAAAATACCTTATTTATTTTTGATGTGCTGTTAAACTTAATGTACTTTTGTGTTTGAATAATGTAAGTATTTAGTATATGCTGAGTTCCCACAGTCTGTTCCCACAGCTGAATGTTGCTATCAGATCTTGCATAAATAACATCAAATATGAGAAAAGTTTACTTCACAAGCTAATTTCCCCTGAAAGTTAACACTGTTATTAATTACTGAATCTCTGATTCTTTTTGAACTGCTTAGAACTTGCTGGTATTTGAACAAACAATTTCACATGAACGGAAGCGTATTAAAGCATTATATTTTTGATCAACACATGACATTTATTGAAGGGAGTGTCAAATACAGAAAGTAATGGAATTTAGAAAGAAATTGTATAGATAGAGGCACTACTAAGAAAAATATAGGTTGTGATATCCTTGACTTCAAGACTTAAAAGCCTTCTTCATCAGCCTGCTTCCATTCCAGCAACAGTTACTTGGCTTCATCATCATTAAATGACAAAGATGAAATCTTTGCCAACACCTAGGGATGTTTTATGATCTCTGTTCAGCTTTTATTCTCTCTCTCTTAATTTTAGTATTTCGTTTATTTTAATTAGAAGGTTTTGAAAATGAGTGCAGAGATTGTTTTTTAAAGGGTTCTTATTATTTTTCTTTCACACTTTTTTTTAAGTATATCCTGATGATCTTTATTTAGAGAAAAAGGAAGAAATGCTTTTATTTACAGGATATACAATTTGAGCATGTTAATTAGCATAAGAGAAGCACCTACTTTGCATCTGTTCTATGAATTTTGTGTTATCAGAATTATAGTGTAGTGTATAAACTTTAAATGACCTTTCAAAGCTAAAAATACTTATGTTTATAGAAAGTTGTTCTATGAGAATATTGTCAAGTAATATAGCTAAATTCACAGGCTAAGTGACATGTATGCTTTGTGTCCTGTCTGTATCCCAAATTACATATTTTAATGCATTTTTTTCATAACCTGTGTTCAATTCTGTTTTCATACGAGTAATCAAGACCTTTTTTGAACAGCATCAAAACTGTATATATGATGAAGAGTAATGAGTTCCTTAATTGACTTTTGGAACTGCTTTTATTATTGACTATTGAAACTTGTACAGGTTTATGATTATTTTATCCCTTCTCATATTTTCTAGTGATTTCTAGCCATTCCAGCAGGAAGCACAAAGCACATGATAAGGCAATTAAGGCCTTTCTGTTCATTCTGGTGATAAGTGACGTCACTGGCAATTGTTCCCAGGCTGTAGTGGTGATTAGCATTCAGCACCAGGGTATCCACAAGTATCTGCACTGCGGCTGTCACATGGAAATAGGTTCCAACACAATCATCTCAAACCTGTCGGCAGCCACGTGAACTCCCAACAGGAGAGTATCAGAGAACAATAGTAAATGTTTGTTTTGAAATGTGGCTGTGTAAGATGGCTCTCAATAGAAAATAACCGTTCAGGTATGGGTTTGCTCGCAAGATGGTATATTATGATAACACAAGAGAGCTTAGTTAACTGGATGGATGTCAGGAAAGTCAGCGTTAAGGTGTAAGATGAGTTCACAGCACACTCTGTTGTGTGGATAAGGCAGCATATTAGGTTTAAGATCATTCAATTTTATGTAATGTTTTAATCATGAGAAGACGATATGTTAAAGATTAGAAGGGTGATTAAGCACGCTTTAAACAGTACTTTATGCTGGGTTGCTGTTGGAGTGAGATTTTTAAGCTGGGCTGGAGGACTCCCCCATAAGTCGTTGCAATTAGAGAATTGTCGAGTCTGTGCTTAGATGAGAACAGCTCATGTGAGCCTTGTGCTGTACAAGCATGTCAGTTGTGTTCCCCTGACAGAGCTTGAACAATTTCTAGACATGCTTTTTAATACAAGAAGAAAATAGCTCTGCCAACAGAGGTCAGAGGAAGCTAGGCAGGAAATCTGGCTTGTATTAGATCTTCCTTTTAATGACTCACTTTGTCTCCATTCAGATGAGGTCATAACTCTTTTGTATGGCAGTATCAGCTTTTGATGAATTGTTTTTGGAAAAATCCAGTGTTCGTGAACTACTTGTTTTATCATTCTCAAGGAGAGGATAGTCTCTAAAAATGCCTTATCTAGTGGAAGAAAAGTTTCTTTAGAACTGTCATGTTTTGCATTATACTGAGTTGCCTTGGGTGCAACAGAAACCTCTTCACTGGAAGTGTTTTTCTCTTTAGTTCTTTGTTCCAGGAAGTTATACATGTGTCAATATTATTCTTGTAAATGTCTTATGTATTTTTTTCAGTGGAACTTCCTTGGACCTTTATTCACATTAAAAATCCTACACTGCAAACTTCCCAAGGAATAAGGAACCAAAGAGGCAATACAATTAGAGGCAATAAAATTTCCAATAACTTTTTTTTGACCCCTCCTGTCTGCCTATTGGTGAAACAAACTCAATCTTTCTATACTTTTAGACTAAAAGCTTCTGTGTTACACCCTCACAAACTTGGTCAGCTTGGTTTATAGCCAAACACTGATAGACACATAGCTGCAGCAGTGAGAATGTTCTGCTGATGCCCCTGGAGCTGGCAGAATATAGCTTTACTTTTATTTACCAGGAGGAGGAAATCAATTTGACTTCTCCAAAGTACACTTCAAGAGGTAATTTCATCTCTAAAGTGATAAATAGTGCACTAAACATCATATAGAACATGCTTACTTTTCCTCTGTAGAACCCAGTAAAGGTACAAGTTTTAATTCTTATTTTAGCAGTTGACTTTAGATAGACTAGTATTTCTATAATTAAACTCTTTACATATTTTTACTCATTTACAAGATTATTTTTTTCTTTTTATCTGCCTGCTTTACTGAGGTTACTCTAATTTTAGAGGGAGAAACACATAAAGCTAGGTTTTTATTTCTCCTTTGCCTATTTGATGTATACCTGTAGAGGACACTTGCATGTCTTCTTCTCCAGGCCTCGCTGTCTCCATGAAGTCGGTACCACTGCTGACCTTTGCTACTGACTTAAGAGAATAAAAGGGCCAAAACACATGTTCACACTTATTAGTGAGTCAGGAGAGTAATGGCTAGGAGGCCTTTGTCCTTGCCTTACAATTTAGATAGGCTTAAGCTTATCAATAAAATAGGATTTATCATAGCAGACTTTGAGTCATTAACTTACTATATAAACCTTTTATTTTTGCTTTTTTAAAAGCACTATTTTTTGCCATGGCATTTGTATTTTTTACAATTATACCTTCAATTTGGCTGCTTTGTTATTGCACCTGAAAATCTTCTTTTATCATTTAGTACAATGTAATACAAATTTTGTGGAGTGCAGATAGGTGTAGATTTTGCTCATTCAATTCTCAGGTTTGCTTTTTTTGTTTGAGCATTTCTATCTCATCTTGTTGCTGCAATGTCTGTAATAAATAATACTTTTCAACCTTTTCACATGATGGGACTGAGCCAGTGTTCTTGGAACTGCCTGTACTCAGCAGGTACAGCACAAGCATATGGCTATTAAAATCTTGATATTTGGAATTTGTGCTTTTGGCTCATATTGCCTCTTTATTTTAGGCAAAGTCTATAGCTTGCAAGTGATATATATAATAGTACACATATAACTAGAGATTGGGAGATGAATTGATATTGTAATGATCGATGCACCCGATCTCCCTCTCTGACTTTAAAGAACCGCCCTATCCCTGATGCAAAATTGCTTGCAGAAGTTTCATCTTTTAATTCCTCACAGAAAGGTAGAATCTGAAAATAAAGGCAGTCCATAAAGCATACTGAACATAGCTTTTAAAGGGTTGATGAGCTCACATTTGACATATAACTACTTGTGGGAGGTAGTGGAAGAAATAGGAAAGAAAGCTTTGTTTCAGTCTTCTGTTATCATTAGGACATGGATTTTTAAAATATGTATAATAACCAGCTTCAAAGGATTTTTTTATTAGTATTTTAATCTTAGCACAAAAATACTGAGCTTTAATGATGATCCCAGGATACTCAATAGTCATCATAGGTCAGTGTGATGTTCTCTCAATTTGCCTTGGAAATTTGAAATGAGGCTTATTTAAGATATTGTGTCTTGGATATTTTAACTTTAATATTAATCTATTTTTGTTTCCCTGATTTTAATGTCAGTTGTTAGGGAAGTGTTGAGAAAATCTGTTTTCTTTAGGGGTCTTTCACATATTGACTAATGCTGGATGGATCACTTGATCTTTGCA